TTTTTATTTTTTTTATGAAACTGATCAGAACAGATACTACACTTGATCCTGGCCGAAAGGCCAAGAAGTGGAGGGCAAAAAAGGCCGAGAAAGGTATAAAAACATGTGGTTTCTACTCATAAGGTTCCGTCATCTGGTGCGAGGTCCCACGAGCAAAGAGGAGTGGATTGAACACCTGAATCTGGAATTGTTTGTGGACAGGTGAAGAATGTCGAGATTGAACTGCTTTTGTGCATCTCTGCTTTAAAACACGTCCAGATGCAGGATATTTATCCAACCCTCTTCGCTAGTGGGACCATGCCCCTGCATTTGAACTCCGGTCTGATTTTTTTATTTTTATTTTCCAGCTGTTCATTGGTGTACCCACTGAGCTGCTGAGCATTGGTGTACCCACTGAGGTTCATTGGTCAGTAGCAACAGGATAGGATAGAAAAGAGTTTGTGTGGCAGTTGAGCGACCCAAACCCTACCGTGCAGTACTGGTGAACCCACGGTCAGTATTTTACATGTATTACCCGAAAAGTAAGGAGATCTTGGTTCCCCTCCTCCTCTCCTTAACACTGGGCTTTGGGCACGCCGGTGCAAGGGAAGCTTCCCGCCAAAATCTATTCAATCCGTTGGGGGCATGGCCAACCCCAAAAGAGAGTGGGTCGGCCATAGGCCCACTGGATAGAGGATTTTCAGTATTTTGCTTGCTGTTGTGCAATTATCTCATTGGGTGGAGCCCTCCCTCAATCACGGAGTATATGGAGGGAGTCAGGATCACTGCTGACAGAAGTTGAGTTTATTCCAGAAATGTGGCAGTTACGTTCTGCACTGATGTTGCAACCACCACCATCAGATCATTTGTGATCTGATGGCTGGGAAGTACTCTGCCGTGATTTCCGGTGGCAGGTTTCTGTTTCTTTTTTTTTTTTTGCCTTTCTCCTGTTTTCTCACCCCAGAAATTCGTAATGAACCTGTCAGGCCGCTGCCAGTCAGTATCACACGGGATCGGTCACACTCCTATCCGACTGCTAATGGGACCACAGCCTTGTAGGCTCTTGGCTGATCCGTCTTTTTGGTGCGGATTCGAAATTCGAATTTATGACCGGTCTATTACCAATAACATCTGGAGCATGGTCCCACTAGCAACCCGGATTGGATTAAGATCCTGAATCTGGGCGTGTTTTAGGCAGAGATGCAGCAACGGAGTTCAATCTCGATTTTTTGCACTTGTCCATTGTCGCGGCCAGATTCAGGCGTTCAGTCCAATCCTCTTTGCGGTGGGATCTCACCCCTGTGTACCATTCAGTGGGCATGGGCTTGGCTACACCCACCCACCCGTCCTTCGGGGCATCCGTAAAGTTTCGAGCGACATAGAGAAGATTAGCATGACCTCTGCGCCGTCGCGGGAATGCTAGTCTTCCCCCGATTAGTGGTGCCTACCCTTATCAGCACCCCTACCTTCTTCCCCTGAACACAACGCACCATCATTTTGACTGTATCTGGCGGGAAATTAGCTTGTATACATTCATTTTTAGGGTGCATTGTGTTCGGGGGAAGACGGTAGCATCCACAAGGATGACACGCATGAATTCCTTTTTTGAAGTTTTTTCCTATTTTCCATACGAGCTCCGATCTATTGGTGGGGCTTTAAAAATATATATTTATATATGAGTCGGTGAAACTCCGACGAAACAGTTTGTCACAGCCCCTCGTTTGTTGTCCTCTTCTCCCTCTCTGCCTACGGGTTACCGTCGGCAGTTCTATTTGACGATATATATATTGGTGGGGAGCAGCACGTGCTGGGAACAGGCCACAGGATTTCTTCTTCCTCTTTCTTGTCCCTGCTCCTGGAGCATGGCATAATACATCCGACAAGCATCAAGGAGAAACAGTGTCAAACAGACTGAGAGGAGGGGAGAAGACGAGGAGAAAGAGGAGCGAAGATAACAACACGCAGAGATGAAACCTGAACGCGACGAGTGGGCTCGTAAATTAACCATGAAAGAACAGCCCAAAACTCGATCGAAAATAGGCGACATGCCCGTAATAAAAAAAGCGCAGGTCGCACTAGCAAAAAGGATAGGATCGAGCTTCTGAATCTGGATGTGTTTTACCCAGAGATGCAGAAAAGCAGTTCAATCTCGATTTCCTGCACATCTCCAAAACCTCGTCCAGATTCAAGCATTCGATCCGATCCTGTTTGCTAGTGCGACCACGCCCCTGGAGATGACAGCCGTAAAGTCAAATTAATTAACTAATGAATAAATAAATTAATTAATTAATTAATTAATTAAGTGAGTAAGTAAGTAGAACGGCTCCTGCGCATTCAACGTTAGTGTGAAGGTTCCCAGGGGCGAGGTTCCACTAGCGAAGAGGATCGGGTAAAGCTCCTGAATCTGGGCTTGTTTTCAGCAGAGATGCAGAAAAGCAGTTCAATCTCAATTTCTGCACCTTTGCACAAAACCGTCCACGTTCAGGCGTTCAATCCAGTCCTCTTTGCTAGTGGGACCGCTTCCAGCAGAGGAGCCTAATGTCAGTTGCCACAATTCTGCATTTCTGACCCTCTGTCTCTGCAGTCTAGGTCAGAAAGGAAGGGGCCCGGGGGCGTTGTCCCATTAGCAACGAGGGTCGGATCGAATGCCTGAATCTGGATGCGTTTGTGGAGAGGTGCAGGAAATCGAGATTGAACTGCTTTTCTTATCTCTGCATAAAACACGTCCACATTCAGGCATCCGATCCGATCCTCTTTGCTAACGGGACCTCGGCCCAGGGGTCCGGAAGCCTCGATCATCAGACGAGTATATGCCTGCCATGCGGCAAAACAAGAAAAAAAGAAAAAAAAAAGAAAGAGCTGTGCGCAGTGTGCGACGCTCCCACAAACCAGTCTGAAAAAAAAAAAAAGGAAACAAGTCTACTTGGATATGCTCCATTAAATCAGTCAGCAAAAAATAAAATAAATAAATAAATAAAATCTGCTTGGATATCAGGCTGCGTGCGATGCTGCGATCGAGCCCTGTGCAGCAGTCTGTCAGGGCTTCAGTTTAAATCGCGCCTGAATCTGGATGTGTTGTATGCAGGGATGCAGAATGCGAGATCAATAGTGATTTCCTGCAAAACGTCCAGATTCAGCCCTTAAATCCAATCCTCTTTGTTAGTGGGACCTTGATTATTAACCGACGAACCTTTCAATATTACGAGATTATTAACCGACGAACCTTTCAATATTACGAGATTACCAAGGAAACACAAAATAGGAAAAAAAAAAAAAAAAAAAAAAAAAAACACAAAGTACGCTTAGCTCAGTTGATATACCCTCGAACCGTTGAAATGCAGATGGAAGTAGATGAATAGAATTCCTGAATTACCTGGGGCTGATTAGTTTCACGATGATATGTGGCCCGTTTTCAAAACAACTAAATAATATAGGGATAATTATTAAAATGGCCGTCGGACTTCTATTTATTTGTGGTATGCCCCTCAGACGGCCGACTTGACTTGACGTGACCTTGGGGCCTCTGAAGTTTCCTGCAGGCCCCTGTCAGTGAGGGGTGCAACTTTCTAGCATGCCCATCATGCGCGGACAAGGAGCGCTTTTTGGCAGGGCATCAGGAAGTGTATCTTGTGAAGGGTCTGTGAAACAGGCCATGCTGGCCCTTTTCGGTCTCCATAGGGCCCCAGGAAACATTATGAAAGTAACAGGCTGGGAAATCGGTCCAGGTGACTTCTCAGGTTGTCAGTTAGTGTCTACGCGCCTGTGCTCGGAGTTTTTTCATCTATGGTGTCTATGGGCCTCGCTGCACTAATCAAGAGTTCATCACGGCTGCACTAACTCTTGATGCCGCGTCCTGGATTTCTATTCAAGAGCTGTCAGATGCACTCTCGAAAACGTGGAGGGTGAGTCACTCTCGAAAACGTCGCGGAAAACTGGTCTTGGTCCGGCGCTTCAAGAGGTGTCGAAAATGGCCCACGGGATGAGCTCTTGAAGTTTCAACAGTTCCTGCCTGCAGGAGCTGACGGGTCCCTTCATGGGGTTTGCAAATTCTAGAGTTGGCCTCCGGTCTTGGTGGACAAATCGTCGCTGCCCTGTCGTGTAGTGTCTGTCCGACAGTGAAGAAAGCTCACCAGAGTAGAGAGTCCGGAGTAAGTGCAGCCATGACAGCACTTGATGGCAATCCAGGAGTCTGACAATGCTAGACAAACTCTCGAAAATTTTAATGTGTCTAGCATAGTGCAGCGAGGCCCTATGTCTTTCCTCTTCTACCTCGCCGTCAGTCCTTAACTGTCATATGTCTTACATGTGATTACAGTCATATGTGTTGCATGTGATTGTCAACGTGATTGAACGGCCTATAGTGCTTCAATACACACAACAACCATTGTAGCAGTCACTACGTATGTGTGGTTGTGCCCTATACCGAGGAGATACTGTTACCATTGGGTAGCGTTGTCGGTACTATCGGTAGTTCCGATGTTGTAATCTTCTATTTGTCATTACATCTTTCGCCGCTGCCTCCTAATTTCGTCTGTTTTTCTGCCTTTTTAGGATTACTCTTCGAGTCAATCGAGAGCGGTCAGAGATGAATTACGCTATGCAGCCGGTCTGCCACCACTGCCGGCAGCCCGGACATTTTATTAGGGATTGCCAGTTGCGGCCAGTCCCGAACGC